ATTGCACGAGCTCCAGAGATTTTATTTTCATAAGTATACCATTGAACAGTCTAAACAGCGATTTCAACAAAAAACGCGGAAAAAATTTGGCTTTTCGTCGCTTTATATTCGCATGATATTGAAAATAAGATAAAATTCTTAAGTTTATGTTTCTCAAATATGATTCTCATCATTATATCATGACATTGACAATAACAAGCGCAATGTCGATTTTTAATATACGGTTATAATATCCGCAACGAAGATTTTGTCGATTACGCACAATGGAATAAATTACGGCTGAAATGATTCCATCCAGCGCCAGCCTCACGGAACCGATAAATTTACACACGAGTGCTTTGCACGGCACCACTCCCGTCGATTCGCACGAGAAATCGGCCTCTGTGTGTAATTACGACGCACTCTCAATGACTCGGTCACGTGCGCCATGCTTCCCGTATAAATCCCGGATGAAATCCCGGCGTTTAATTTATCGTATCCGCTTTTGATGGTACAAACAATTTTGGACAAAGTGCTGATAAACAAAAAATTCTACCCCGTAGAGTAACAGCCCCGTTCGTTATTAATGACTCGCAGGTCCCTGCCTTAATCGAAAATAAAAAGAATATGAGCATTGATTCTTTTACGTTACATAGTCGGGTCAAGGTAGTGCGTTTGTATGACGAGAAACGTTACCTAGAGGATTTAATAAAACGAGTGAAAGATAAAAAAAAAGACATATACACAAGAAAAAGCTCATAAATGAATTCGTCAATTTGAAAGAAGATTCAAATAATGTTTTATATTATCGGAAAAATTTATGAAACTAAAACATTACAAATAAATAACATTGGAAGTACAAAAATATGTGTATTTTTTTAAAAAAGATTAATTATTATTTCCTCATATCGTAGTATTTATTTATTATACACTATTTAGTATCTATACTTTTAAATTAAATAATCACTATTATTTCTAATTTAATTTACAATCTCAAACTTCCGTTAAAACTTATTTTTCTGTAAATGTAACAGCATTTTCAACTCCAATATATTTTTCTTATAAATCTTATGTGAAAATCGTGAAAACGTGATTAAGCAATATTTCATAAAAGCAAACTACACATAAATCTCATTAAAACCATCGAATATTAAAGGAAAATTGAAATATATTACGGAAATTATCGTATTATGCTATTTGTTTAAAAAAATCATCGACCGATAAGTAGTCAGAATTAGTCACGAGAACATAGTACAAATACGATATCATTGTTTGAAATACTCGCTTAAATTAGAATTGACAAGGTTAATGAAAATGTCGCTGCAAATAAGTTAAACGTGTCAAGGACTTCATTATTTTCGAGAAATGAAGCTTCCACTTTTCAATTTCACGTATATACATGTGACATTTTGCTAAAACTAATTATTCAAAATATTTACTATTCCAATCGTTCTTGCGATTTACTAAATAGATGTGACATAATCTTTCCGCGTAAAAACGTGGATAAAATAATAAAGTTATAAAGTTAAAGATATTATAACTCAACAAATGAAGCAGCGCCGTAGTTCAATTTTTTCAACAAGAGTTGAAAGCAGCAGCAGAATGAATTTACACAATTTTCAGTCATAAAAGCAATTCAACGTCGCACATCAGGAACCAAAGAAAAAGAACTTCGTAAAAATAAATAATTTAAAAAAATTGTTCTCTTCGTTATTATACTTGTTAATAGCATGTCAGAGTTTCAGTCAAAAGCACTTTAGCTTGACGTACATTTAACATTGTTTTTCTCCATTATAATAATGACAAACAATTGGCAATTAATGTAAAATATGTTTATTTCTTTAGTATTTTAATTTTTTAACATTTATCCTTTTAAGGAATATTTAATTTCAATTCTGAATAAGAAATTATACAAGCTTTCTCCATCTCAATAAGGATTGCCTTAATTTATCTGCGTATAAACTTTCCTTTTCGCTAAACTAATATACATGTCATCTTGCTTTCAGAGCACATTTATGTGAACGTCACATCGGCAAACAAGGAACATTGAGATTCTTATGTACGTGAGTCATACGTACTTAGAACAAGTAGATGACGTTTCTTTATTAACGAGAAGAAAGTATAAAGTTGACGTAACGTCAAAAAGTTATGCACGTCAGTTTTAGATTACGAACGTAAACAAAATTATATGACAACTAAAAATGGTACGCATTTCGCTCGGTCGCCATACCATTTGGGTTTATGTAAATGAATAATTCATAAGATGAGAATAAATATGAGATATTTGGTTTAGGAGAAGAAAGACCGCATTAATGAGCGAAACTGAAAGAAGAAGTATTGTAGTGTATTTTGTTACATTTTATATATCCATGCAAAAAACAAGCTTAAAATTACATTAAAAAAATTTTTTTAAGAATACGCTCTTATACGAGCAATTTTAATAAGTTACTTGATAAAAAAATAACTAAAGAACTTTTGATAACAGGAATATAAACAATAGAAATGAAAAAAAAAAATTATTTTCCATAAATACGTAAAAAAAAATTACGCCATTATTTTCCGCACATTTTGTCATTAAAGATGGTATTCATTTATAATATTTATTAACATTTTTCGCTTGTTTCTTAATTTTAATGCTTATGAGTATCGTAAGTAGTTTCTAATGAGTTTAAAGAGCCTACAAAGCTCGTTACGTATAACTATTCATACTTTATCGTAAATAGCGGAAATTACGAAGAACAACAGAAAATTCGTTAATTTCATGACTAAATTAGAACGATTAAGGAATCGCGAAAAAGCTCAAAGGCGGAAAATTTTTTATAACTTCTCCATCACTGAGAATAATAACGACTATAGAAAAATGGAGTTTTCGCTATCAACCCTTTTAATTATGTTACACTAAGTCGATATTACATTCGCTTTATATAGATAGTAAGAATACTGAAATCTTTTTGCAAATAAATCATCTTAGACATTGATGGTAGATTTTATAACCAACAGGTAAAATATTTACGCAGTTATTTACGTTTTGCCCTTTTAAGATCTTATTTCCGTTTTAATTTTCTAATAAACGCTCTAAAAAGAAATTGAGTTAATTGAACACCTACATACACGGAGCTACACGTGGCGTTTCCGGGTCAATTAAAATATAAAAATAACGTTTAAAAATATCGTTCAATGTTGGTGAAAAAAAGCAAAATTACGTAACCGAAAAAACAAACATTTTTACCATAGTAAACCAAGAAAAATTAAGACGTCATATTTGTTTTAAATTTTAACAACCCACCTTTTTACTTAATTATCGTTAAAGAAGTTTAATTACGCGTTGGATCTTGGTTGGAAAGCTAAAACTGTTTGATAAGAAGTTTCAAAAAGATTCTTCTGAAAAAAATGTTCACACAATAGCTAAGACCAATATTCTTTACATTTTCATCGCTGACTTCTTGTATGTGACATAAAGAAATAAGATCCAACTAAAATACGTCAAACCTCGATGCAATAAATATTCTGAATGCATAAAAGAATATTCACATTCACGCAAGGACGACTTCCAGTCTGCATGAGATAAATATGAGAAAAGTTTCGTGCAAAATTTCATTTTATCGGGAAATTTTTCGTGGCCTTGAAAGCCATTTCAATAAAACGCAAACTTGGAAGAAAGTAATTCTCCTCTTGCCAATTTTCACAGTTAGATTTCCATTTTCTCTCGCATTCCGTGTTGTATAATTATACAGTCGCTAATATAAAATCGCTGAATTTTCTTTGCTGTCACTTGTAGCTCAAGGGAGAAATAAATTGGTCGCGTTCGCACTCAAATAATCTTGTTTTCACGCCGATTGTACCAATGTGTTTGTGGAAATTGGAAATTCTTCGACCGGAAGACAAACGATTAACGATCAACGCGGAAATTGCACGGCTAGGATGTCGAGCAAAATTATTAAGACAAATGATTGTTTTTGTTGCATATGATAAGTGTCTATTATCCATTAGCAAATAAATATAATATTTAAATTTCCATTCTTTCCTATGTACAAGAATTTATGATCTAAGTAAAGGTTTAAAGGTTAAAAGTTTAGTTTCTGTCTTAGCAACTGTGTAATTAGTACATAAAGTTGCTCATATATATAATCAAATAATTTTGTATAATAAATTTTGCGTTAATGCGCAAATAGAACAAAATTTTATTCTATCTCTTTCGTAAAACCAAACGAAGACTGGAAATCAAATCGATAGTGCTGACTTTATTTATAAGTGTCAACATTTCTTTGTATAGCTATAATAAGTAACACTACCGCAACACAAGAAACTTCTTTACGTTATTAATTATCATTATGTACATAAAATCAAAAATATATATAATGCACTCATGACGCAAATTTCTTTTTAAATTAAATTAAAATATAATAATTAAATTTAGAAATAACTATGTATACTAAGTTAATTAAAAAATGTGTAAAAAATTTTAATTATATACTCTGCGAAAAAATAATCTCAGACAACACATGTCTAAAAAAATGTCATAAAGATGTCATAAAAATATCTTTTAGACATACATGTTCAACATTTAGATATCTAAAAGATGTAATAAAAACGTCATTTAAACATGCATATCTGGGAATATTAGGGAATATCATTTAATAGGACACTACGTCCTAAATATTTTAAATAATTCCAAACAGGAAAATGTATTTCTTTCAATTTTTGGTTTTGTAAATGTATATAGGTTTTTCTTTTCAGTGACTGTCTTTTGGGGAAGAATTTATTTAAGAATACAAAAGAATTTATTCAAAGAATATTGCGATCTTTTCGATAGAATCGCATTCGCCTGACTTCTGCTTAAAATCATTCGAATAACGCATTTCTAAAGCCTGACGAATTCCTCGCGAGATATTCTGTACATGGACGGCTATGTGAGACATAAGCTCTTTGAGATTTGCGAGATATACTAGAAATCAAACGTTGAGAGAACATGTTGCGAAAGAGTATAGAAAAGAAAGAAATCTAAACGGATAAGGTCGTACCTTCAGGGATGCCATGTCCGACACGGATCGATGAGTCTGAATAGTTTCCAACTGGTCTAAGCACCAGTCTAGTTCTTCTATCGTTTCTACAGCCAGCTTCATGAAGGGCTCCTCTGAAAAATCCGAAGAAATAAATTTAGTGTTATCGAATGTTCCCTTTCACTTTCTTTCTTTCTCATCCTAACAGGCAATAAGTTAGCGTTAAAAGAGTTTATCTACTAAAAAGATAAATTCGAATGTGATTGAGAATAAAGAAGCGTTTCGGAATTTTTTATTTATCTTCGTATTTTTAAAACTTGATGAGAATACTTCAAAAAATATATGATGTAAAAGATATTTTAAGGCTTTATAGAAAATGAATAGCATTTCCAAAAATAAATAGTAATTTATAAGTGAAAAGAAAATGAGAATTCCGCAAAGAGATAATAGGGAACACACATTCAGCAGTCGTAATAACGAATGTATTTTTTAAGGAAAAGTAGATGGAATTGTACGAGTCTTATGATTCCTTTTAATAAACCATACACGGAATGAATAGCTGTAATAATTAACGTGATCCAGAAATAGGGAATATATAATTCTTGTCAGAAAAAAGGGTAAATAGAGGAAGGTCACCGATACCGATATACCACTTTCTTTTTAGACAATATTTTTTAAACAAAAGGTAAAAATACAACTTCAAAAACATAAATACAAAGTAAATAAAAAGTGTCTTCTATCAGATAGTATAAGTAATTTTTATAATACTGTTTGCAATTTTGCAATAATTAAGTTTTTCGTAAGTTATGCAAAAATGAGCGTCTGATAAAATGGGCTCCAAAACTGACATAGTAGGAAATAATACCAACATTTCTATTCTATAAATAAAGATATATCCTATTCTGTAGAGAAAACTGATTTATGAAACTATAAACATTTAAAATGACATAATATTATCAATAATACAGTCACTAATATTTTAATTATGCAATTTGCAAAAGAGCACCGTAAGAATTTTCTTCTCGGATTCATAGAATTGATTTTTAGCTGATTTGGTATAGAAATAAGCCACAAATATATGAATTATGAGTTTGTACTTCTTTAATTAGCTAAACAGATCATGATTTTATTAGTATTAATAAAGTGCAATAGTTAGTTTCTGAGAAATAAGCGGGTGTCACTTTAGGAGACCTATGTCAGTATCGGCAACTTTCCTCTATAATCTTCTAGAATTAAGAGAAAGTTATAATTTTGTATATTAATGAAGTGACAAAATAAAGTTTCGTGTATTTAAAAAAAAAATTGAAGAGCCTAAGTTTTGGTTTATATAGATAAAAATCTCTGAGGGATGTCATATAAAATGAGAATTAATGTTTAATAAGTATATAAGAGGATCACACGCGACATCACGCCAATAACATTAACGAAGAGAAAAATAAATAGAAATTATCAGAACAATTATTCGATTGTTGATAACGATAATCATTAAATTCCATTTAGAGAAAGCTAACGAAATTTTCTGTATATTAATAATAAATAAAAAAAAGGAACCAATTGTTGTACTTGAGTGTATTAAATCAAATTAAATGAAGAGTAAAGCGCTAAACATTTAAAATGAAATGCTAATATTTTGTGCAAATATGTACAAAAAGATTCATCCGGGAATAACGGGAGAGGCAAAACGAATTGTAATATTATATTATTTTTTACCTCCTGGCGCCAAAATCCGTGGCTGTGGCGTACTACTGCCCTGTTGGCCACTACTTCTTCGTGATCTGCAAAAACAATAAGAGGTAAGTGAATTAAAACTTAAATTAGTCTCGTAATCATAAACTTCTATACACTAACTAGATTGTTCACTCCGTCGTCATTTTTGGAACTAAAAATGAGTAGCCAAGTCAATAGCCATGTGTATGAGTAGCCATTGTTTATTAATTATACTCACACACATGTGAATCACACAAACAGTCACTGCTCAAATCAAAATTATAATTTATAATAAATAATGAATATTAAATAATGAATAATGAATAATAAATAACGAATAATGAATAATAAATGTTATACAATTTAATAAAAAGAAAATCATCGTGAGGCGATATTTTCATGTAAAACTTGAGACACAATTTATAAAGCGTCGACGACAGAAATAAGGAATAATAAGATTTCAACTTATCACTATCAGAAACTGTGTATACCAGATTGCACGGTTTTTGTTACGTTGAAATTTGTTATTCTATGTTCTTATGTACTTTTCAATTGTATCTTAGACTGCAATTTTTCTTACGACTAAAGTAATGCTTCTCACGTGATACACTCAGGTCACATGGCATACTCATAATAGGCACATATATACATATGGAACCATGTCGATTCAAATGCACTTTTATCTCTTTCTATCACATATAAAATTGACAGAGTGAATCGATCTAGTTTATATGTGTAGTCTGTACTCATCTATTTGAAATAATAATAAGCAACAAATTAATCTATTTATTTTTTAACAAAAAACTCCTTATAAAGATTTATAAAACTGCAGTAGCATCATTTATACGAAATGTTTTTAATATCAGTACATTAAACTGATTATCTAGTTAATAAATAGAACATTAATGTTCGAAAAAAAAAATAAATACAACATTATTAGACAGAAAATCCGCGTTCTGTAAGATTATTTACATTATATTTGTGTTGTCTATTTTATTGGTCTAGACTTGTATTATAGTATTAATTCACTTACTTGTTCGTCGGTACATTCGTGAGAGACAAGAAATTATTCCTGACCGAGCGTAGAGAAGCAAGAATCTGTGCGAAGGGTGTAACGATGAATTCCTCGCCATGGCTGCAATTGAAAAAAAAGACACAGTTCATCATTGACGTTTCACTGTTCCACTTGTGTATTAGGAGGGTCGGGTTTTAATGGCCTTGCTACGAATTATTTCAAAAGTCAGCGTCTACTTCGCTTTGCAGTAAGTTGCATGCAAGCGTAACAACGCTAAAGTGATTCTGTTTTCACGCTCATACGTACGTATACACTAAATATATACAACAGACACAGATACATGCATTCATTGACGCGCATTTCGTCCAGGGATACGCAAAAATCATCAAATCGAGGATCAAAGAAAAAAAAAAGAGAAATCAAAACGCGCTCTGCGAAGTGCACGATTTCACTCTAATTTAATAAATCCGTATTCCTTTTACGACAAAAAAGTAATATGTCGCTTTGCGTAGAATTGCGTCATGGCTTATGACGCTCAAATAGACTGTACTTTTCGGTATTCTAGAAACAAAAACAAACGAATTGCGCGTCAATACGCAGAAATATATCTCTATTTGTTGAGAGATAATTGCGGGGCTTCTCGCACGCGTTCGCAAGCTCGATCGTAAACGGATTTCAAGTCATCTTAATATAGTATATGCGAAACAAACATTCGATCGGTGAGTGACGAAGGATTACGTTGAAACTTCAACGTTGATCGTCAAAGAGGCCGCGATATTCCTATAATTCTTCGTGCTTTTAGTGTTCCTATAATAAGAGTTAGGACAATGAGGTCGCAATTTTTGATTGGTTGCCGAAATCCGCCATATACATACACTGAGAAAAAAATGCTGTTGATTCAATTAAAGTCTATATTACGGGCTGTCACTAACATAAGTGATTAATTCATGCGTATATTTTATTGATATAAAGGCTTGATTACTGAAATAATAATTTATGCCTTTGTGTCAATAAAAATGTACATGAATTAATCACTTATGTTAGTGACAGCCCGTAATATAGACTTTAATTAAATCAACATTTTTTTCTCACTGTAAGCTACAACAATTACGAGTTATAAGCGAATTGCAAAAATTCACGTATTTGATGTTATCCTCCATGTTTGCCTCATTATTTAGCGCTGGGGGTATACGTTTACACGAGACTTGTTGAAAAGTATTACTTCTAACCATACCATACCCATTTAAACAAACACAGCTATATGTGTCTAACATGTTCTATTTTTTATATCGTCTACAGTCTCTACAGTAGTAGTAGTCAACTTATATATGATCAGTGTTACTAACGTAAATTTGACTGTTAATGGCAGCGGTTTGTCTTAACTTCTATATTACAGGAACACTACGTATTTTCAATTTCATTTATTTATCGATCGTACAACAGCCTCTTATTTATTTGTTTGAAATTACACTGACGCAATTTTAAACAAATATCCAGTTTTAGCTAAGTTGGATTTCACTACGAATATCATATGCCATGTCGACTTATCTCGTATGTTGAATTTTATCCCTTCTCATTCCCACGAGAGCGTATATTACTGGAATATATCTGGACCACTTTCCTCTCGCTCGCCGTTTGCTTCATGATTAAGCGACGTGTTTCCGATTTTTAGCTCCATATATCTAACGGTTACATACGTTATATTATCTCAAATGACCTATTTTTTTAAATCCCCAACAGTCGATAGCGTGTATAGGTTAATGCGGTCATTTTTCATTTTTTAGTAAATTCCAGGTATTACCGGGGTGACATAAAGCGATCGCGATTACTTATTTTATACTATTAATGACGATATTGTGCGCATAAACGTGCATGCATAATATGCAAGATATAGAGGATTATAGAGGATTTTGCATCAGACAGATCTTAAGCTCACATCCTCCTGCGTGTAGACATATAATTAATAATATCTCCCGGTACAACATTAGACAAATATCTACGATAATGTTACGTATATATTCCTCAATCCAGAGTATACGTAGAACAATGTATAAACTCGACAGATTATATCGTTTATCAATCTCTCAAACCCATGGATTACACCAAGTTAAGAAAAAGTAACTTTATTTTGATATTATGAAAGTCAAAATGATTTTCGGTTACAAAATTTGACTGTTTTTTTTACGTTAAGAATCAAAATTAAGTAATTTGTTGATTTTTATATGTTTTTTGGGTAATCGATAAAAACTGTGTAAGTTAAGGACTTCAAAATACTCAAGCCTGCACTATTTCAACTATTACGATTAATTTTACTTTTCGCTGAAAAGTACCCTTCAAAAAACTACTACATCTGTCGCAATCGATCATTACTTGGAAAAGGAGCCAAGAACGATATCGCTCCAGATTTAGTTCGCGTACTTCCTTCTCGTTTTCGTAACGATTTTTCCTGCGTACATCGTGCCCCAGTAAAGGAAATATATTTCCTGAAAATTATGTATAACGTACGTACGTGAGGAGAACTCGCGATAGTACGGTAATCAGCAATCGTTATTCATCCCCTGCTTTTCTCTCCCGCGAGAGAAAATTATGTTATTCCCTCAAGAACAATATCGTGGAAACTGAATAATTTTGGCAATTATCCGTTTTACCTTTCAGTCAAATTATCGCGAATGACTTTTGCAACGAGAATCTTGAAAATAATGTAAACATTGCCATTAAATAATTACTAATCAACGTTGCTTGTTTGACGTCAAGAATAGTAAATAAATTGTACTACTAAAAAATGAAATAGATAATAATAACGCGAGCATTCTGACATTATATTATAGCTCGAAATTTGCTTTTAATTTATTTACGTCATAATGAGATAATTATTTAAAGATGGCTATTGCAGAAAACTTTATTATTATCGCATTCTGGCAGTACGTCAAAAGATCGCGCATAAACGTGTACGCAATTAACTTAATATAATTATATAATCATCAGATAATTATAAATTCGTACTTCAATACTTTTGGATATAATCTCAATTTGTTTAAGTTCTAATTGGATAAAATTGTATAAAAGATAATATTACGATACTTTACATTGTACTTTGTTATTAATATTGCATTCTTGCGATTAATCAAGATATTCGATACGTCAGTACTAAATACGTACGTATTAAAAATCAATAAATTAATTATGATGTAATTATAATAAATTTGTTTTAAATTACTTCTGGGTATAATATTCTAAATATAATTTCCTGTTCTTGGATATCATATTAGTTGCAACGTACGGATAAGAATCTCGATCTAAAATTAAACGTCGCGAATCGCAGTCACGAGCATCACGCAACTGCGCTTATGCAAAAGCTCATTACTTAATACAAACAATAATAATTAGCGAGATATATATTCCACTGCTATGATAATAATAATGATTATTACACTGATTATGTTGAAATATGCACATTTCCGGAACACGCTAAAAAATTACGAGTAATCCTAATTAATTACATAAATGAAATGAGGTATGTAGAAATACGAGATACTTACAATTAGTCAAAGAAGGTGAGAATAAATGGTGTATCAAGAAAAGTGCGTCAATGTGTGGTTACATTAATTAAATTGAGACACACAATATGTGGATTAATTATATTATTACAATGCAAAATTTAAAGAATAATTTATTCGCACAGCTGTATATTATAAAAAAAATTCTTACAATTTATAATTGAATATATGATGAAACGTCTTTGTGATAAATATAACGCGAATTTATAGGGATGAGAATTATAAATTTAATACTCTATACGTCAAAAGATATAGAATATATTTTAATAGAAATTATTTCGTATAGAATTACGTAGGCAAATTTATAATTATATATACATATAATAATCAAGTTATGTATTCTCTATAAATATCAGAAAGGTCATAAGTTACGGGAAATGCCGATGGTTTTCTCTGTTCCGTACTAATTTATGTAAAAGATAATTTTATATCAGTTACTGAAAGCCCAGAATCTATAATCACGATTATCAAACATTAATAAATAAAAAGTGCCGTTTTTCCATATATCATTTAAAATAGCAGTTTAAATAAATTTAAATAGAGTAAATGCTATTTGGTTGATATATGATGCGTAATTATACAAGTAAAATAAAAATTCTTTTTCGATCTGAACTATATATATTGGTACTTAATTATCCGGCTAAGAATTTTGAAGGGACAATCGATATTTTGATTGTCAATTCTGGTAAATTTAAATTTGTAAAAACTAAGCAAAAAAACAATCCGACTTCTATGATAGTAAAAACTCAATAAAGCTTTCACAAGTGTGCAAGGATTTTTTTCAGATTTTTATATAGTCTGGTACAATATAAAAATCTGTACTAAAGTTAAAAAATTCAGGTTGTTGACGGAAAGAGCAAAATTCCACATGCCGAGAGAGAGAGAGAGAGAGAGAGAGAGAGAGACAGAAAATTAATAATATTTCATAAAATAAATTTACTTATTACACAAATTAACATTGAAGATTATTTAAAATCGTTTCCGTTTTATTAATATTTTTGCTTTCTTTGATGCGGTTTGTGGAAATAAAAATAAACAAGTATAAATCCTTCTTCTGTAGTGAGAAGAGAAATAAATTTTTGTCTTGTGTAGCGTTGTAGTGATTTAATTATATTTCGCTGACTATGAAACTATGAAACTATGAGACTATGAGAAAAAATATTGAGTGGTCAAAGAAAAGAAAAACATTCTCTTTATTCCTTCACGCGATAATAAAATATTGCGGTATAAAATAAAGTTTATATCGGTTCTCTGACGTGAGGATAGCAAAAACGCAACATTTCAAATACGCAAAAATACGTTTTATCAAGAAGTACGTTATGACTGTAATATCTGTTGCGCGGGAAAGGTTTGTAGATTATACGGTAGAATTCCATTTCGTTGTACACACGCCGGTGTATGCGCGGTAACATTGTTATAACTCATTTTACTTCAGAAAGGAAAGAGACAGATTTTTCGAAAATACATGACGTGTTTCCTTCCGCCATCTTTTCCAAGAAAAGCATAATCGCGCAACATACACATCTGAGGGATAATATCACGAGGAAAATGATTTAGGAACAA